TCTGAAGCCACTGCCTTCAAACAAACTCAGCACCGAGCCATAACTAACATTATAACATGATTTTCATTTGTCTTACTGTTGAAACCAAACCCTTTTTTATTAAGCCTCATAATGAAGCAACCGTGCCATCTTGTTATGGCCTAATCAGGGACACTTGGATGATACGGTCCCATCTGCTCTGTTGACAACACATTAACCACAGAGTAATAACTCACAATAAGACAGGTGCCCTCTGAATATCATTACAGCTCTGTCTGCTCCTAACGCTGCCTTTAAGTGGCGAGGTGGTGGCTGGCAGGAGCCGGGCCCTCTGCATGTCCCGAGGCTGTGCAACACACCAGATGTGATTGAGAAACAAGCTGCAGTCTCTGTGAATTAGCATCCTTACTCTCTGCTCAACTGATGGGCGCATGTCTGATGCAAAGAGGCCTGGATCTGTGACACAGTTCAACCATCGTACAGCTGGATCTAAGCTGAGCACACGATGCCTGAATCTCAACATGGCTTTGGAGTAAAATGGAAAAGTACACTGCAAAATTAAATAAAATAAAAAAAACTGTATGAATGTAGAAAGAAAAGCTCTGCAGAGAGTGGTGAAGGCTGCACTGAAGTCTGCTGGAGTCAGCCTCCCCACCATCACAGACATCTACACCTCCAGATGCAGGAAGAGCCAAACCTGCATCATGAAGGACCCCACTCACCCAGCACACACACTTTTTACCCCTCTCCCTTCAGGCAGGAGTTTGCGGAGCATTAAGTGTAGAACCACTAGACTGAGGAACAGCTTTTACCCTGAAGCTGTTAGACTCATGAATCCTTAACCAGTATAATCACTGTAATGCCACTTCAGTTGGTGATATGTGACTTATCTGTGCTGCTGTATTCATACCCAACAGGACTACAGACTCATGTTCAGGCTGCTGTTTAATATACCGTAATATTTTACATTATTAGGGTTTAGTGTATCTCTTAGATCCTTATATACTGTCTATTTTTATACGTTATATTTTTGCTATTTTTGGGTGTAACTGGGACCCTTGAGTACACAATTTCGTTCCACCTCATGTACCACATGTGGCGTGAATGACAATAAAGAAACTTGAACTTGAGCGAAATGGATGTTAACATTGTAAGTTACGTGAACAAATATTAGTTTTATTAGCATCCCCTTCTCTCCTCCTGTTGTGTAAACCTTTGTGTTAGTTTGGTTGGTTACTCGTTTGAATTTACTAATCTGTTTCAATTTACTGCAACCGTAGGATGTCTAAACTTTGTTTCTGTTAAGTTGATGTGTGTTACTTCATTTGATTAAACTGCTTGTTGGAATAGTTCAACATGCAAGTCTGGATCAGCTGGATTTAAAGTGTGTGGTCTTTGGAACACACTTTATAAACCAACTGAACCAAAACCACTTTACACTGAACTTAAAAGGCAACATAGTTAACGTGATTTGTTGAAAATAAATTTGTCTTGGTACAACAGAAGGCCATGGTGAAAAAAAACCACTAATCCTCTAGTGACTCCAAAATCTCCTAACTGTTAACCTTTAAACACATTTTATCATGAGATGGGACAGAGTTGAAACTATTTTTCTATAACTTCCATGATGTTGCAAACCCTAGTGAGCTGTGTGTGAGTATATGTTCAGAATGACTCTCAGCTACTGCCACAACTAATTTTAGCTCAATATTTTGTAAATTTGACCAAATTGCCATAATTGCCGGTGTATAAGCCACCAATTCAAGATGGCTAATTGACTTTTTCCATTTTTGTGCTGGAAAAAGCCAGTTAGTTGTGGAAGCCATCTTGAATTAGCATGTCTCCAAATGCTATTGAGTTGTAGAGGTACATCCAATGATTACTTTCTAAGACTTTCCTCTAAAAAACATACAAAATAACAAGCTATTTTGCTAAAAGGCATAATTTGGTACATGGTACATTGGTACACAATGCACGCAAACAAATACTGGCTAACAAACAATACTGGTTAAAACATAGAGTCTAAAACTGATGACACAAACATTTGAGCCCACCCACCAGGCTGACTGACCTCCAAAGTTACGATGACGAGTAATTCCAATTCAGTTAGGCGAAACATTTAATGTTAACACATTTTTTATTTGTTCTAATCAAAATGTTTAACTCAAAATTTAATTTTATTTCAACAGCTCCACCAATAGTTTATCAAACTGACATTTAAAGGTACTCATTGTAACGTCATAAATACAGGAAAATAAATAAATTCATGAAGTAATAATATTTTTCTCATATAAATGATTATTGTGTTTTTCCTTTGAAATTGTACGCAACATTTGGGAACTTTAGGTTACTGTCGTAAACCCGGTCCTCTGAGTAGCATGAGTGAGACACGAAACGAATGCTATGAAAGAGAACGACTGACAACTACCACACTAGGGGTGTAAAAATACATCGATTTATATCGATATATCACTTAAAAGATTAATGATTCAATTATATTGTGGCAAAACTAAAACATTTATTCATATTGTCATGTTTAAAATACGCTTTTATTTTGAAATTCCCAAGGCACATCTGTGTCACCATTTCCATGCGCAGCTGCGGCCACCTCAGCAACATGGCAGACGAGGCAGAAAACACAGATAATGAAATTCACTCTCCTGCTGGATTTAAATCAACACTGTGGAAATATTTTGGATTCCAACAGAAGGACGGCTCAACAAACAAAACTCATGCCGTATGCAACAGGTGCTAGTGTGAGTTCAAATACTCGGGAAACACAACAAATTTGGTCGTTCACCTGAAGAAGAAACACGGTATTGATAGCTATGTTATGTAAGCTCAATATCTATTTTTATTTCTTTATAACTGAAAGGTAATCAGGGCACTTTTAAGTTAACTGGTTTTTTAAAAAAATGCACTTAAATATGAGAAATGTGAGACTATACTGAACAGGTCATTTATTTATTTTTTTCATTAATTAAGAAAAATTTTCTTTTTTTATTAAAATGCCTGGTGCCTGTAATAACAGAAATAAAATGGTTAAATCATATTTGAATTGTTTTTGTAAATTTATTTATATGTAAATGAGATGGGCATTTGATATCGCAATATATCGATCGCAGTAGGAATGCGCGATATAAACGGTACACGGTAGAAACGATAGACATTTAGCCTACGATAGAGATCTGTCTTCTACCGGCTAACCGCAGTAATGCTGTGTCTGATGTAAAATCAGAGCTGTCAGATTTAATTGTTACTTTTTTTAGTAGTAAGTGGTGTTAAAGTTTTTTCTTCGAGGGCTAAGTAGCGAAACTGCAAGCTAACCACGTCCGGCTTGCCGTAGTGTTGTCGTATTCGGATGCTGCGCAAAACGCTGTGTTCCATCGAAAGGTTGTTTTTTTTTCTGTCGAAAGTTAAAGTAAATGTTGGTCAGGTTTAGAGTAACTTGCTCTCTGATCTGTGAAAAGAACGCTGTGTTGTGTGATTTTACTGCGAGACCCTCTGGTCAAAGCCACAGAGGAAACTGGTCGCCATTTTGTGTCAGCTCTCCTTAAAGCGGAAGGAGACGCATACTGGCTGGAGGGTTAAGTGTTTTCAGTGTAAAATGCTGCTCTGTTGCTGTTCATTTCTTAAGTGATAAAACTGGAAACTGTTAAGAGTTAACAACATATTATTTTGTTTAAAACATATGACTAAAACTACATTTGATATCTTTTGCACTGTTTTGCACAACAAGAAAGAAGCCAAATACTTGATTTGTTTATTATTTAAAAAATCTAGACCTCATAGTGGAATTTTCCTAATTGAAATTATTTTATGGTATAGCAGTTTTCAAAATAAATGATGGCAAAAGGACACCCTATGCTTTTTTTTTTCATTCTTATTGCAAGTTTTGAACCAAAAACATATCGTGATATATATCGTTATCGCCAACCTTCACAATAAATATCGTGATATGAATTTTATGCCATATCGCACATCCCTAGATCGCACACTTGTGAATCAAATAGAATCGAAATCGTATAGTGACAGACTTTGTGATATCGAGAAAAATCATATTGTCATACAAACAAATCGATATAATATCGTATCGTGGTAAAGCTGGTGATTCACACCCTATACCACACCTGTTGGATTATTTGTAGAGACAGCTGAGGTGACTGAAAACAGGTCAACAACGGCAACATCCGTGTTTGAAATTGAGAAGTCCCACTCATTTGATGTGTTGGTACGTATTTATGCTCAGATTTGCTGGGAAAAGAATCCAGGTAGAATTAGCAAGTTGTCCTGCTCGTTACTTTCACGCAAATATTTCCTCCTAAACATTTCTGTCATTCTAATTTTATCCAATGCCAACACATTTATGTGCCTACAGACTACAGCCAGTCTAGGTCAGTCACATGACTGAGCTTCGGTCTGAGGCGGGTTCAGCCCAATGCTTTGTTTGCACTGAGCACGTCCCCTCATTTTAGAATTCCATATCAATATATCTGGAAAACTACTGGTAAACGGTTTCAAACTGCACCATTTGATGTGGTCTGGGCTAACCCTTTTTATGTTTTATTTTAAAGTTTGCAGTGGCTACTTTTGAAAACGAGCTGACGCAACAATCAGGCTAAAACCAATTTTTACAATGTAGCAGGATTGATGGCTCAAAATGAGCCACTGGACAAAAAACGGGGCAGAGATGTCTAATTAGTGCAAATAAACCAGCTGCACAATTTCAACTCCTAGTCCAGAGTTATTGCTAAAGGTCCAGGGGGTGGGGGGTTCTCCAGGACTGGTAAAGGAGGCTTCAAACCCGAACCCAGGACCAATGACTCCGGAATGATCAGGTTTATTTTCCACTCCCAAATCTGTCTCAAAACGCCAACAAGCCAAACGCAGAGAGCATGCATCCTGCAGGGTTTTTCACCCAGCAACAACAAAGCGTGCAGAGACAGAATCACCAGCTGGAGCAAGTTTTTTACAGCCTGATGCTCATCAGAGCATCGACTGATGATCCGCAACAAACCCACCTTTCACTTGGGTCTCGTAGTCCGCGATGATCTCCTTATCCTTTTTAAATCTGGTGGATGACATGGCTCCTCGGTCTTAGGGTGAGACCCTGATGGTCGAGGACTCTGGTCGCTGTGGATCCCCGGCGACTCGTGGCGCGAACCTCCGGTTTTCTTGTAATGTTCCCCTCCACGGAGCCAGTGGCCTCTTCTTGAAGACAAACGAGGCTAAACGCTATTGTAGTGCGCGTGCAGCCCGGAGGCAGATCTCACAGACTGGATCACACCGGAGCATCGGTCCGAAGCTGCAGTCCTCCCTCTCTCTCTCTCCCTCTCTCTCCCTCTCTCTCCCTCTCTCTTTCTCTCGGAGGAGTTCACTTAAACCTAAACAAAGACAAAAAGCAACAAAACGAGCTCAGAAGTGCCACATCAGGATGGTGAGGAGAGCTGAGCGACGCTTGAAGGTCTGTCCAGGTCCTTCGGTGTCAAACAGACATGCGTGACGCGGCTGCAGCGCGCGCTCGTCACACGAACCCCGCGCACGCTTGCATCACTTCAGAGGACGTCACGTGAACTCACCGCCCGTTTCGTGCGCGCCAGGGTCAAGTGCACCTTGCGTTTGTTCACTTTTTATAGATTTACAAGGGCGCTACCAAGAGGGGGGCAAAGGGGGGCCCCTGTAAATCTGCTGAGCCTTCGGATGAGAGGTGGAGAAGTCTGAGCTCTCTGACGTAGCAGCGAATGTTCTTTCCTGCAAGAACACGTTATACTCCAAGAGAAACCTCCAGGACGACACAAGTTATGGAAGTCGGTTTTGTTCATGTTGTTACAATAACAGAGATGGAAGTTTTCCTTTTCAGTCAGACCAGTCTGCAACACCCAGGACCCGTCCAAGGCTTAAGCAATGTGGCTGCTTAGGGCCCCGGGGCCACTAGGGGGCCCCCTACATGGAATTTAATTTTTTTTAGCAATAATTTTTATATGATTATATTTGCAAATTGTTGCATACATTTACATAAGAACTAATTATTCAGCTTTAAATTATTTTTAAACCATTGTACGTGGTTTCAGTATTGTTCATTTACGTATTTCCTTGTTTTTTTTATTTTATTTTATTTTGTCTGTTTTGTTTTTGCACAATTAAATTTATTTTTATGCATTTAATTATGGGCAGCACGGTGGCGCAACTGGTAGAGCTGCTGCCTCTCAGCGAGCAGGTCCCTGGTTCAAACCAGGGACCTGGCTAGAGAGGTGGGCCTGTGATCCGAAGATCGCCGGTTCACGCCCCGGCCCCGACAACATCAAAATTGTGGGTGGGGTGGGTGAAACACCCACACTTGCCCCCACCCTCATTCGCCCCACTCTGGGCCCATGAGCAAGGCCCTTAACCCCCACCATGTGCTCCCTAAACAGGTCTCTCTTGAAAATGAGTTCTCGTGGCTCAATGAGACTAACCTGGATAAATAAAGGCTAAATGAAAAAAAACCTCGGTCCAGGGGCCTTTCTGGGTGGAGTTTGCATGTTCTCTCCGTGCATGCGTGGGTTTTCTCCGGGTACTCCGGTTTCCTCCCACAGACCAAAAACATGCATGTTAGGCTGATTGGTAACTCATAATTGTCTCTAGGTGTGAGTGAGAGAGTGAATGGTTGTTTGTCTCGTTTGTCTCTATGTGGCCCTGTGATGGACTTGCGACCCGTCCAGGGTGTACCCCGCCCCTCGCACAGTGATTGCTGGACATGGGCACCAGCGACCCCCGTGACCCAAAATGGAATAAACGGGTAAAGATAATGGATGGATGGATGGCATTTAGTTATTTTATCAGTTGTTTGTTGTTGATTTTGCATTACAAATTATTTTGAACATCACTGCTGCAGTTCTTTGGAACCAAAGATAATAAACCAGATGACACTTTTGCTGTAAAATACATTGCATAATAGTGGTTTTTTTTTGTTTGTTTGTTTGTTTTTTACTTTTTGTACCACTATGATATATAGATGTAGGATAATGCCAACAGTGTCAACTCATTCAAGCTCATTACAAAATGAAACATTTTGCAAATATAATCATATAAAAATTATTACTAAAAAATTTAAATTCCACTTACGGGCCCCCTTAGTGGCCCCGGGGCCCTAAGCAGCCACTTAGTTTGCTTATGCTTTGGGCCGGCCCTGGCAACACTTACACACAGCGTGGCAGCTTCTGCCCAGGAGAAACAGTCACACTGTGGATCCCAGAAGCTGATGTTAGCTCCCAGTGAGAGCAGTGATTCCTGGTAGTGGTGGGTGAATCGATCCAAATATAGATAATATTGATACCAACGAGCCGACTGTAAGTGCCGCTCCTGTCACAGTGTTTTGATGTTATACCATCACGTGACTCAGCGGCACCAGACAAGCAAGCATTTGTTACGGTGTGATAACTTTGTTTGTTTATTTAAGAAAAAAATCCAGAAAAGGAGTGCAATGAAGTGATATTTTTTATTTAATTATCCTAGTTTCTGAACACAATGTTTTCATTTATCCTTGAGTGATCATGTTGTGCACTTTCTTTAAGGGAAAAAATCCAGCCATCACAAGGTATGGGGGAAATTGTTTTGTTACTGGTTTTTTTTGTTTGTTTGTTTGTTTTTTCAGAAAAAAAACTTTTATTATAATAAAGTATTTTTGATTTAACTATAAACTTTGCCTAATTCTATCATGGCTTTTAACTAATAAATGATCCAAAGGAAAAATCACAAAACACTTAAACATCATCAAAATTCACCATAATTATTAAAAAGTATTTGTATCTATATCAATATCAGCGATACTGGACCTGTATTTACTCGGTATCGGATCGATACCAAATTTTGTAGAATCTCACACCACTAATTCCTGGGCAGCTCACTGGACAACCTCCATTTCACATTTCTGCCCAATAAATCCATTGGGAGAAAATAGTTCTGCACAGGCGTGTCAAGAATGGGCACCCAGAGCACCTGCACAACATTACCTCATTTTGGTCCTGAAACTGCATCAAAGAGAGCAGATTTCTTCATTTTTCATATAAACAAGTTCATGAATCTTTATTATCTCCAAGGGGCAATTTGTTTCACAGTCATTAGTCACACAAAACATCCATACTAGACAAGACATTAAAGTAACAGTACAGAAATCAACATTGTTCGTTGAGAAGCCTGATCACTAGAGGGAAGAATGAGGTTTTCAGTCTGTTCGTCACATCTGGGGGCAGCAGACACCTGCGTCCAGATGGAAGCAACCTGAACTCAGCATGGAGTGGATGATCAGGATCTGCCAGAATCAGCTTGGTCTCATTTACTGACCTCACCTTGTGTAGGTCAGTGAGGTTCTGTAGGACTATGCCAGCAGTTTTGCTGCACATCCTGACAATCTCCAAGAGTTTGTTCTTGTTTTTGCATGTCAAACTCCAAACCAACAACTGAAGGTGAAAGTTAAAAGAGATTCAGTAAAACACGAATAAAACATTCTCATAAAAGTAAAATCAACATTAAAACCACAGAGCTTCTGATAAAAAATACATCCTCTGGTGGACCTACATGCACATCAAAGGTCAGTTTGTCATGTTGCACCACCTCGCTTCACCGTTAATAACCACAGGAAATGCAAGAGTCATTTCTAAAATCCTTGACCATCTCCTTTGTCTCAGAAACATTTAACTTTAAAAAGGAAGACTCACACCTTTCAGTGACGCCCCCGGCCTCAGACCTGTGGTCTGGGTCATCACTGCTGAGAATAGACAGGATGACAGAGTCGTCTACAAACTTTAAAATGTGACGCTGTGGATAATGGCTGCAACAAGCTTCAATCAAGCTTTATATTCATAATTTGTTCTGTTAAATAAATGGCTGCAGCTTCAATACTAAACTAAAATATGTTGCAATCTTTTTTTAAATCGCCTGTATAAAAATGTCATGAAAGTCTCATAAAATTCTGTTGTTGATTGGAGTTTTAGTTGCCCCCACCTGGCCCCTCTTTGAACGGTTTTCTGATCATTCCTTTATGTCCTCATATAAACATATCAAAAATAATAATGCAGTGTTTTACTGCTCCCCAGTGTCATGCAGCTGTTTCAACAACAACCTAATTAAACATAGCAGTGGTGGATAAACAGCTGAGAACAATGTCACCTCTTTCATTGCCATGGAAACGTCACATTTTTATCCCAGCCTGACTTGTTAAAGAATGACGACGCATTTTAGCTGAGGTGATGGACAATGACTGACGAAGCGCCTGTAAACTGGGCTTCAGAGGTTAATTGTGCCTTTGGTACCTGCAAATATGAACAATGGAGATTTAACCTTTAGGGAGAACTTGTGTGTCGCTGCCGCTTCACATTATTACTAACTCCTCGTCCCAGCGTTGCAATCTTCATTCCTGCTGACAGAAATGATGTTGTCAATTTAAAAAAATGTGAAAACATTTTTTTTTAATCTTTTGACATTGTTGTCTGTCACCTTAGCTATTCTCAGCTCCAAATGCACTCGGCTGTTAACTCATATCCTGTCTTGGTGCAAACTGGTAAACTGACACAAATAGCAAGTACTTGTAACCAGTTAGTGTGCAGCTCACAGGGTTCAGCAAAGAAACGTTTCCAGTTTAGAAAATAATGACGTATTTCCTCTGAGTAATATTTGACGTTGGGCGTTGTGGCTTAAAAGCAATCTAACACAATTAAGCATCCGTTGCAGGGGTTGTGTTGCTAAATTAAAATGGTTTATTAAAAAAAAACACTATGTACCACAAACAAAGCACTAATAGATAATGTTTTTTCCATTCATGATCTGATTAACTAATTGCATCTGATTTTGATGAAATCAGAACCAACAATCAGAGCTCCATTTGTAAACTCCATTTAGTCTCGTCTCAGTTGTCTTGCTGATTTGTTCTCAGTCCATTAAAAACATTTGAATCTGTCTTGTGATTGCCGTCTGACAAACGGGTATAAATTCCTCCACAGGAGTGAAAGCCTTCAAACTGGTCCCTGACGATGAACCTGTTCGTGTTATTGGTGAAACTGGACGTGAGACAGAGACGGGGCTTCTGTCTTCTCGTGTTTGTCTGTATGTGTCAAACTTCAGCCTGTCTTTGTGGTTCTCCAAGTTGTCAGTCAGACTCACTTGTGAGAACAGCACACCACTTGTGAAGCAACAGGCCATAGTGACTGCAAGAAACCTTCCTGAAATCCTTTCATTATTTGTTTTTCAGGTACAAATCAGTTCTG